TCACAGACTAGATGTTCGCGTGTAGAACATTCCAAGGAGCCCACGGAAAAGGATTAGAATTAAAACGGGCTCAGCTGGGGGGCTGGCTACAGACCAACACACACAAATCGGTCGGATTTCTAGACAGTAGCACACTAACAACCCAGAAACGAGCTAAGGTCCAGCGCCCTCCTCAGGCAGCCTTCCCTGACCTCTGCATATTTCTAGACAGTAGCACACGAACAACCCAATCCAGCGCCCTCCTCAGGCAGCCTTCCCTGACCTCTGCGGGGTGCTGTGTCCCTCCACGGGGCTGCACGGCCCCTCCCAACACTGACCACACGGTCGTCACTGTCCACCCCATCCTCACCAGCTCAGGCCCGGCACACAGGGGCACCCGGGGAGCCCCAAAGGAGGCGGAGGGTGTCCACCTGGCGGGTGTGGGGACTGCAGTTGTGTGGGAGGCGCACGAACCCCAAACAGAGCCCCAGCCCGGTGTGTCGCACCCTCCCGGCCTGTAAGGGAACGGGGCAGCTGTGTGAGGACAGATGGCGCCCTCGCTCCTGCTCCCCATCTGGGGGGAGTTGGGGGGAGTCCTCCATTCTCACTGGCCACCGTCCCTCCCTGGGCATGCTGAGGGCTCCAGGTGGCCACTGACTGGCTTGGGTGGGTCGTGACAGGGCCAGGCTGTGTCCATCTTCACACACACCCCGGAGTGTCCCTGCTTCAGGACAGATGCCAACATCTGCAGCCCCTCTCCCAAGGACGGACTGTCCAAAGGGAAGCCCGTCCTGACACCACACATCCTCTGGCCACCACCGGCCCTGCCCTGCACCCGCGGGTGAGCTGGGCTGGCAGGCAGCTGACCGGAAAGCCGGTGCCAGGCCAGGCTGGAGTGAACGGGGGAAGCGGTGGCTGAGAGTGAGGGTGACGGGAGGCCATGGTGGCCATAGTGACCAAAGCTTTGGGGGGACTTTCAGCCCAGCTCAGACCCCATCAGAGCTCGAGATAGTGGCGGGGAGGCCCCGGGGGTCACCCATCGTCCTGGCGGCCTTGCCCCCCGGGCTGTCTCTCTCATGGCCTGTGGCCTCCCCCCAGCCCCAGTGACCTGACAGTTAAACTCCATTCACCCCCGGGGCCCCCATAGGAAACCTCAGCCCCCTTCTCTAGGGGAGACACCCCAGTGGTGCCCAGGCCACCCCGTGAGCTGGCAACTGCCCAGCTTGTGGTGCAGGGCGCTCTGTCCCCGCAGCTCGAGCGGCCGCCTGGACAGGGCTCTGGAGACGCGCAGCCGGGGTGGGTGGCCAGGTGG